CACACACACACACACACACACACACACACACACACACACACACACACACACACACACACACACACACACACACACACACACACACCCACCCACTGCCTATTTCCGAGACAAAGACCACTGACAGATTTCCTATACATTGAGCAGAGAAAGAAGAAAGACAAGGACAAGATACCTCCTGCCGCGCATCTAATCTTCAATCTCTGGGATCACTGAGGAAGCTAGAGAAACCCCTGCCTGAGCTTCGTGTCTGTACAAGACAGACATCTACCTCTGTCTATCACATTGTTGGGATTTACAGTAGGATTCTCTGGGGTGTGTGTGTGTGGCTGTGAGATAGTGTTCGCTCGTTTGTGGCTGTCGTTGGCTGCACGGGGAAGAGGAGACTCTGAATCCAATGGTGTTGTGGGATGCTTCTTGCGTGACATAGCATTTACTCTCTTGACTAGTAGTGTGATGTGTTGGGGAATATGTGGATATTTGTGTGTTTACCTTGTACCAACCACCACCTTTCTACTGTCTCCTACTGGGAGATGTGTGTATGAAATGCAAACCTCGCTGATGTGATGTTGCTGTCGACAGCACTTTGCCATAATCCTCCATGTCGTAGACTCTCCGCCCCATTGCCCTTAATGGAGCTAGCTGCTACAATGTGAACAGTACAGCTCACATGGCGTGTGTGTGGTGAATTGTGGTGGATGCGATAGACACCCCACACACACACACCACACACAACGACACCACACACACACACACACAACACACCAACCACACACACACACCACACACACACACACACAACACACACACACACACACAACACTGACACACACACACACACACACACACAACACACTACACACACACCACACCACACACACACACACGCCACAGTGTGTTCTGTTCTGTCTTGCTCTGTGTCCACGCAGCACACAAACTAATAATTGTTGACCCCCATCCTCAAAAGCACAGAGGGGCTGACTGTAGTGTTAATGTCACTACCAGCATCATGCACCAATGCGCCATATTTAGGTCACTATCGAGCCACAGGCTGAAGAATCTGTCCGCCTCCCCACCTCCCACTTCCTCTCTCACTTGTGTCGTGCCAGGGAATATCTAAGTATCACAATCAACTACACGTCGTCGAAGGAAGTGAGGCTGTTGTGTAGACGTAGTGCCTCACACACACATTATAATTACACCAATGCTTGTTACTCTAAGTGCGCATGAAGGATGATACTCAAGGTCGTTCCCAGACTGAGCATTACAATGGTGTAAATTAATGATAGTATCCAAATCATAAAAGTGAGAAAAAATTATCAACATATAAGTTTGAGGTAAGGAAAAGGGTGCCGCTCTGAGACACGAGTTGACCAAGTGAGTGAGCTAATAAATCCTTACATGGAAATTATTAAAGTAGGGTTAGGTCAGAATGGGAGAAACAG